ATCAATCAATAATGTGTGCCTTAACACCAACGATGTTTCCTAACAAGCAACAAGAATGGTACTCATCTGCTTCAACAATGGAGTATCCATGGCTTCAGTCTCATCAAGTTGATTCCTTTGCTCCTACTCTCCAATATGATCTTCCTTCTTTCCTTTATCCTAATCCTTTATTAGCCCAATCAGATGATTCCAAGAGCTATAATCTTCATCATCAAATAAGTCTTAGTCATAGCATTGGTACTAACAGTAACACTAACAATGATCAAGAAGTAAATCTTGGAACGGTTTTGGAGAAGAAACTCAATCACAACGCAAGCGAACGCGACCGTCGTAGAAAGCTTAACGGCTTATACTCTTCCCTTCGTGATCTCTTGCCTCCTTCTGATCACAAGGTTTGTTCTTTAACACTAAAAAACTCTATCAAGATTAGGTTTTGTAATATGTACTAAAGGTTTTGGTTCTGTGATTATGTAGAGGAAGCTGAGCATTCCAATGACGGTATCGAGAGTGGTGAAGTATATACCAGAGCAGAAGCAAGAGCTACAACGTTTGTCTCGAAAGAAAGAAGAGCTTTTGAAGAGAATCTCAAGAAAAACAGCGACTTTGAATCATCACCAAGAACAGCTTATAAACAGATCAATGATGGACTCCATGGATTCTTCTATGTCTCAACGGATCGCAGCAAATTGGATCACTGACACAGAGATTGCTCTCCAGATTGCTACATCGAAATGGACATCTATCTCTGATATGTTGCTTAGGTTAGAAGAAAACGGGCTTCATGTCATAAGTGTCTCTTCTTCGGTTTCTTCCACCGCAAGGATCTTCTATACTCTTCATCTTCAGGTACTTGTCCAAAAGAGATCTAAATGTGTTCTCATAAAGTTAAAGAGAATCTAAAAACTGATCCTATTTGTTGTTGTTCTTTGTTCAGATGAGAGGAGATTGCAAAGTGAGATTGGAGGAACTCGATGATATGATCTTCGGATTACGCCAATCATATTGAGAGATGAGAGCTTCAAGGAGTGAATATTGTTAGTTAATGTTAGACTTATAATCACATTTTAGAACTTGTACTCTTCTGTAACATTTTTCTTATTGTAAGATTAATGATTCTTTAACTCGGAAACTTTATCCAAGTATTAAAGAGAATATGCAAATTTATGGTATGCTTATAGCAGTTGAATGCAGTTATTTAACTGAATTTACTGTACAAGTTATAGCAACCATGGTACTGTAAAGATCAAAGGACAATAAGAATATTGTCCAACACATTTGATCTATGAATGATAATGATTCTCGATTTTGTCCCTCCATAGTCCACCATTGATGTATCAATCCTTCTGTTTCAACTGTAACATGCTTCAATGACGATGATTTCTATGCCGATTGAAATGTGACTTCACCGGTTGCTGTTCTTACATAAGCAGCAGAAGCTTCAGGAGTGTCTTCCTCGCTCGGTGGAACCAGTTGCCAGAACTTAGGTAGATACTTGTCCCAGTCCTTTAGAATTGCTTCGCCTTTGCTGCTTCCGGTTTTTTCCTTTTAACCAAAACAAAAGAGAGTTTTATATATGATCCCATCAAAAGACAAGTCACTCTTGAGATAAGGAGCCAAGAAAGAGACTGATTATAACCATATTGATAAAATTGTCTACTTGAGATCTTTGAGAGTAGAGATTCTATGTTTTTAGACTTACGACATGGGCTTCGATTAAGCTTTTCAGCTGCAATTCCCCTGCAGGTGCAGTTACTCTCTGGATCTTCACTATCTCTCGGTTTATCTAGTAACCGATTTTGTTCAGAAAAATGTTAGAAAGAAAGAATGTAAATATCATCCAAACACAAAGAAAAGGATTGAAAGAAAGTAACCTTTGGAAGAAGAGTGTCGTCTTCATCAAGAAGGTAAGCTAAGCCTCCAGTCATACCTGCAGCAACATTTCTTCCCACTCTGTTCCAAATGGAAAACATTTCAAATTTCAGTTTACAGAGTTTATCGAAAAATCTCATCCTTCGGTATTGAGTTAGTGCAGTTTTACTCACTTTCCAAGCACGACGACACATCCACCAGTCATGTACTCACAACAATGGTCTCCAGTACCTTCAACTACTGCTTCAGCGAGGGAGTTTCTCACTGCAAATCTCTCTCCAGCTTTGCCTCTAGCAAAAATCTGACCGCCCGTAGCACCATACAAGCAAGTGTTTCCAACTATGGTTGCTTCCTCTGGCACAAATCCGATTGTATCCACAGGAGTTACTACCACTTCACCACCAGCCATTCCCTTCGAAAAAGAACAACCATTTCACAGATTTCATAACAAGTAAAGGTTGATGTAAAAACTGATTTCTATCCATATGGAGGCTAATTTACCTTTCCTACGTAGTCATTTGCCTCTCCTATGAGCCGGATATTCATACCGGGAATCAAAAAGCACGCGAAGGACTGTCCCGCGCTCCCACGGAAACTGCAGATAAGAAAAGAGTAAAACTTGTCTTAGCTATTATTACCTGACATGAAACATATCGATTTATATGAAAGTTTTAGTATTTGTTTCTCACGTTAGATTCACTTGTCCGGCAAAACCAGTGTCTCCATATTTCTTTGCGATGACCCCAGCAATTCGACCACAGACCGCACGATCTATGTTGCATATTTTGACGGTTTTATCAACCACTTTTTCATTCTCTATTGCATCTATCACCTGAAGATATTAAAACTTTTAGTAACTAAATTCAGCAGAACCAAGTGAGAAAGAGAAGTGAAACACTTTTTCTGTTACCAATGGATCTTCAAGAATATCGTCATCGAGAACAGGTCCATTTGAATGAACATCCTGCTTCCTGATTTCAGTACTGCTCATTGAAGGTACTCCAACAGACTGAAAGAGTGAAGAAAGAAGAGAAATCAGAACAAATGTAGAAATATGATTTTTCATTTCATGTAGAAGAGATAAGAGTCTGGATATAATCATATACCGAAAGAAGATAACTCAGATCGAGATGCTGAGTTTTCACTAGCGAAATGTCCCGTGGTTTCAGTAACTCTGTTCTTCCAATGATGTCATCTAACTTGTTGTATCCCAATTGAGCTAAGATACCTCTCACCTGCAGAGAAAAAAATCATTCTCCTTCAGATGAGATTAGGACATAAAGAGTCTTAACGATTGCGATAGTACGAAGTGGCTAACCTCTTCTGCTACGTACAAGAAGTAATTGACAAGATCACCAGGCACACCAGGGAATCTTGCACGCAATTCTTCTCTCTGAAACCATTCAGGGTGGTACAAGCATTAGTGAAACTCAATAGAAGATGAATAAGAAGCCAAAGGAAAGTTTACGAAAACTTTTTGAGTTTATACCTGACTTGCCACACCCACTGGGCAATTATTAGTGTGGCAAATACGAGCCATAACACAACCAGTAGCAATCATTGCCAAAGAACCAAATCCGTATTCATCAGCACCCATAGCTGCAGCCATTAGAACATCAACACCACTCTTGAAGCCTCCATCGACTCTTAAAATGACTCTTTCTCTGAGTCCATTTTCAATAAGAGTCTGCAAAAGAGAGTAAAGCAAGTAGAAGACATAAGTTTTTCATTAAGAGACTCAGAACGTCCAAGAGAATTAGTACAACATGTTAGCCAAAAGATTTATTTACTTGGTGAGTTTCTGTTAGTCCGAGTTCCCACGGTCCACCAGCGTGTTTTATGGAACTTATTGGACTAGCGCCGGTTCCACCATCATGCCCAGATATCTGAAAATCATGATGTATAACGAAAATGCGCAAGAATATAAGAGTAACAAGAGGAAATGTTTTTATTTTTCAAGTTTGTTACCTGGATAATATCAGCGTTACCCTTTGCAACTCCAGAAGCAACTGTTCCGATTCCAGCTTCTGCGACGAGCTTGACTGATACTTTTGCATTTGGATTAATCTGTTTGTTCAATTTTGAATTAGATTATATGGATTTCCTTTTCTTTGGCTCAACTGTTTATTGAGTTCTGAACAGATTGATCACCTGGTGTAGATCAAAGATCAGCTGAGCAAGGTCCTCTATTGAGTAAATGTCGTGGTGAGGAGGCGGGGATATAAGCGGAACACCAGGTTTAGAGCTTCTTAGCCTTGCGATATACGCACTGACTTTCTTTCCAGGAAGCTGACCACCTTCACCGGGCTTGGCACCTTGTGCAACTTTGATTTCCAATTGATCTGCATTTACCAAGAATGTTGGTGTGACTCCAAAACGCCCTGAAGCAACCTGAGAGAATAAAAATGCATTAGATGAAAAAAAATCAGAGTCAATTATTACCTTTGCAGTACAAAAATGAAGTAAGTCAACATCTGTGATATACACAGAGAAGTGATATGACCTGCTTAATAGCACTCGTTGCAATGTCGCCGTTTTGAAGACCTTTGAGATGTGGTAATGTTGGTGAATATCCATCAACCACATCTGTAAGCGGCTTCCAGCGAATAGGATCCTACAGAGGTATATGAAATAAAACAGGGCATTAGATTTTGATGTTTCTTACTCATAGGTGTGACATTTGAAAGAGAAAATGGATATTTACCTCTCCACCTTCTCCAGAGTTTGATTTCCCACCAATCCTATTCATTGCAATAGCAATTGCTTCATGAGTTTCTCTTGAAATAGCACCAAGTGACATTCCACCGGTACAAAATCTCTGAACAATAGAAACCGCTGGTTCGACTTTCCCCACTGGGATCGGTGCACGATCACTCTTGAACTCAAGGAGATCACGGAGGACCTACAGAGGAAGAGAGAGAGAGAGACCAAAGTGTTCAGAATTAAATGAACTGGATCAAGAAATTAAACACTAAAGAAGGCTTGAGAAAGAGCAACTAAGATACTCACATTAACAGGTCGGTTAGAGAGATGTTGTTGATAGACTGCATATGCAGTTTCGCTCTTTTCACGAACAGCCTTGTGAAGCAACTTTGACATCTCAGGGTTGTTTGAATGATACTCACCTAAAATGACAAGAGTTTGTGTATATGAAAATGCATAGAACATACTGATTCAAATCAAGAATTGAAAGTGTTCTTGAAATAATGTTCTTTACCTCCAGGCCTAAATTGAATAAAACCGAAATTTTCTAATCGCTTAGTGGTATCCTCAGAGAAGGCCTTCACCCAGAAAGAAAGTGTCTCCCTTGCCAACTGAAAGAAGATAGCATTTTCTTAGAAGCAATGTGGATTTTATCAAAAGTAATAAAACAAAAAATCAATGTGATGTTATTCCTCACCTCATCAAAGGTGAGTCCACTGATTTTCGACACACTTCCAGTGAATGCAAGATCAACTACCTCCTTCCCTAAACCGTATATCTCAAATATCTGAGCACCACAATAACTGAACAAGGAAAAATGCTAAGTCAGTGGTTGTAGGGTATATCAGAGGAGAGATCCATGAAGAATAAAATGGAACCTTGAAAGCAATGAGATTCCCATCTTAGACAAAATTTTAAGAAGCCCTGCATTGACCGCCTGCAAGATAAGTGAATGTGGAAATCAGAATCCTTTGTAAATGTTTATACAAGATTAAGCCAATTACTGTGAAACTGAAAACCTCACCTTGGTATAATTCTTCTGAGCTTGCTCAATGGTTACAGTGGGAATTTTCCCGTTCCGCATAAAGGCCACAGTTTTGTTACTTAACCGCCATTGTCTACATGTCTCTAGTGCCAAGTATGGGCATACAGCACTGTAGGAAAATTTCACAAAGTATACTTATTGATGAAATGGATGTAATGGTCAAACATAACCTCACTTGGCAGGGAAATTTTTTTGAAAATTTAGAACAAACAAAAGAGACCAACCTTGCACCATATCCAATCAAACAAGCAAACTGATGAGTGCTGAAACACTGAGCAGTATCAGCAACGATGGAAGCTGACATCCGCAAACCGTTCTGAATAAGATGTTGATGGACTGCACCAACAGCTAACAAAATCGGAATTGCAGGCCGAGTCGGTTCCTGAAAG